GATGGGCCCGAGTCCCGCGCCGCCAGGGCCAAGGCCAAGGCCAGGCCCAGACCCCCACCCGTCTCCGCGCCCGCATCCGCTCCGCAGCAAGGGCCCGACCCAGGCTGGGGAGACCGCATCCCTTTGGAAATCCTGCTGCAGATTTTCGGGCTGCTGGTGGCAGCCGACGGGGCCATGCCCTTCCTCGGCAGGTATCTCGGGCCCATCGAGGGCAGCAGCCTGGTTCTGGCTGACCTGTTGCCACAAGCGGGGGGCAGAGGCTGAGGTCGAGAGCGTCTGGGAGTGAGCACGTACACACTTGTGCCAGAGAGTGCAGTCTCTCTGGGGGTCCATGTGGAGTCCCACGCGCCTGACTTTGAGCTGAAGTGCCCGCAGCATTGTAAGAGTTGCGGCAGCCGGTGGAGTGGCATGTCACAAAAGGCCTGGCCCTTCAACAGAGATTTTGTTCCAGGGTTGCACGCGTGTGCCGCCGTTGGCATGAGGCCGCCTCCCAGCCCGCTCTCTGGCACACTGTGACCCTGTCGCCCCCACTGGCTGGCCGCCCCACCAAAGGCGGGGCCAAGGCCGAGAAGAAGCTCCTTGCTTCCCTGGAGCGGCTTATGCCCAATCGGTGAGGCCTCCCCTCTTTTTCTTATCCCCTCACTGCACCTGTGTTGTGTGGAAAGTCTCAGGCACCTTCCTGTTTCCCTGCACCAAGGGGATGGGTGGGAAGGAACCTGAAGAAGAGGCAGCGTGTCCCCACAGGTTCTCACAACTCCAGAGGCTGACCCTCATCCACTGGAAGTCCCAGGTACATACTGTGTTGAAGGTGAGTGCTCAAGGCTGCCCTGCACTACGGCTGTGACACTCGGGTGCCCATTACTTGCAGAAAGTGGGCCATGCACCATGGGGCCCAACACTGTCCCATGGGAATACCTGCCTGGTTCTCCTTTTCTGTTGTGTCCAACAGGGAGGTGTCAGAAGCAGGAGCCCCCAGGTGGGCCTGGCATGGGCAGAAAGGAGGTCATAGCCGAGGCAGTAGAGTGGCACCAGTCACTAGTTTTTGTTGACCATAGCCTGCCTTCCCCCAATCCCACTGGGTATTTATCCTCTACAGCTGGTCAGCGAGTCCTGTCCTCGGCTCACCTTTCTCAAGCTTTCTGATTGCCATGGTGTGACTCCTAACACTCTGATCATGCTAGCCAGAGCCTGCCCCCAGCTCCACAGCTTGGACATACAGCACTCCATGGTGAGCCCTGTGTCCCCAGGGGCCCCGAAGAAGCCCAAGCCAAGGTGACAGATACCCCTGTGCTGGGTCCTTAGGTGGAGTCCACAGCTGTGGTGAGCTTCTTAGAGGAGGTGGGGCCCCGAATGCGAAAGCTGTGGCTGACCTACAGCTCCCAGACAACAGCCATCTTGGGTGCACTGCTGGTAGGTTGGTGACCGGCAGGAGCAGAGTGGGTGCTGAGCCAGGGACTGTCAGGCCACTGACCCTCTCTTCACCCCCACCTCTGCAGGGCAGCTGCTGCCCCCAGCTCCAGCTCCTTGAGGTGAGCACGGGCATCAACCGAAACAACACTCCCCTCCAGCTGCCTGTGGAGGCCCTTCAGAGAGGCTGCCCACAACTGCAGGTACCTGATGCCCCACCTCTCCCACCTGTCACCCCTCTCTCCATCTGCAGCCTGGGCCTTGTTCCCAGGTACTGCGGCTGCTGAACCTGATGTGGCTGCCCAAACCTCCCGGGCGATCGATGACTCCTGGCCCAGGCTTCCCCAGCCTTGAGGAGCTCTGCCTCGCCGGCTCCACCTGCAACTTTGTGAGCAATGAGGCTCTGGGCCGCCTGCTCCGAGGCTCCCCTAATCTGCGCCTGCTGGATCTTCGAGGCTGTGCTCGAATCACACCTGCTGGCCTGCATGATCTGCCATGTCAGGGTCAGCTCTTCCTGGTGGTGGTAGCAGGGCAGGTGTGATGTGGGGACCCTTGCCCACCCCACAGCTCATACCCACCCCTCTCATCTCCAGAGCTGGAGCAGCTTCATCTGGGCCTGTATGGCATGTCAGACTGGCTGACTCTAGCCAAAGAGGGCAGCCCCCTGTTGACCCATAAGTGGTGCCACTCTCTGCGGGAACTGGACTTGAGTGGCCAGGGCTTCATTGAAAAAGACTTGGAGCAGGCCCTAGCTGCCTTCTCAGACACCCCTGGGGGCTCACACCCCGCCCTGAGCTCCCTCAACCTAAGAGGCACCCGGGTCACACCAGGCACAGTCAGGTCAGTACCCCCTCCCCCAGTCCCTTCAAGACAGTATGGCATCCCCCCCATTCTGCCTGGCCCATTCCAGGGGTCTGAAAGGGGATCATATACTGGCTAAGCCCCTGCATGGGGTTGGCCTTGGGGACACCAAGGAGACTAGAATTGGGCCTTGGTTGCTTGGGTGGCAGAGCCAGCCATGGTGCATGGGCAGAGAGGGCTCCTTAGCTTGGCCCAGTTCTGCCCTGCCAGGGCCTGGGTCTCCTGGGAGCCAGTGGCTCAACTCCCCATGGCCTACCTTGCCCCCACAGCTCTGTGATCAGCAGCTGCCCAGGCCTGCTGTACCTCAACCTGGAGTCCTGCCGCTGCCTTCCCCGGGGCCTGAAGCGCACCTACCGGGGCCCAGAGGAAGTCCAATGGTGCCTGGAGCAGCTGCTCACCATTCCCCTCTCCCCCAGCTAGGCATCCTGGCCCTGCACCCTTTTCCAGTTTTGGATGTTGGAACATTTTGTTACAATAAACATTTTTTAAGGATTCTGTGTGGTCCTTGGGTTGGAGTGAGGGGATAGGGCTTATATCTGAGGGAACCACTCAGGGCTAGAGCTGGCCTGGAATCTGTTGTTATTTTGGGGATCCTGAGTCTGCCTGTAGCTGTGCCTTTGGCAGGAATACTGGATTAAGTGTGTGTCCCATCCTCAGAGATACGGAGATGAGCTGTCTTCGCTTGTGAGGCTCTGGCCTGGGTAGATGTGGTGATGGAGAGGGGAAGGCCTGCTCAGCTATGGGGTTTGGTGTGGGGTGCCTGCCTACAGATTTCTGTACATTTTAGATCTGGGTTACCCCACCACCCCATCCTTCAGGTAAGGTTTTGAACCAGGCTGTATAGGGGGCCTCCTATGGGTGGGGTGGGACCAGCAGGGGAATGAGTGCCAACTGCTGGGACCTGGCCAGGGAACTCTCCTGAGAAGGGGTGGTCAACAGTACAGACCCTTCTAGAACCCACCACCCCAAGCTTCTAGAACCCAAGCACACTGACAGCCTAGCCTAGACTGCCACCTGGTGTCACTTTCCTGCTTATCACCTGAGAGCTCCAGCTTCTTGGACCGCAGCCCTGGGAACTCTCTTCCAGGTATGAATAGGACTATGGGCAGCGGGTGGCGGCAGATGAGTCGCCCAGCTGACCACCTATGCCTGACCCAGGCCCCGGCCCCCAAGGGCCTGATCAGCGGCCTTCCCACGACTTCCAATGGCAAGTGCTTCCAGCTCTGGGCCCTAGGACTCTTTTGCAGTGAGCGCCATGTGGCCAAGCGCCTTAAAAGCAACAGCTTGTACCCATTCACGCAGCAGCAGCCCAATGGTGCGCATGGTGGGGCGGTGACCTGGGCGGAGCGGGGCCAGGATGTGGGGGTGGGGCCTGGGACCTGAACTGGGAGGTGGGGGGGAGGGCTGGCCGGTGCCAGGTACCCCAGAACTCGCAGGCAGGATGCTGGTCACGGCCCAAGCCCTGGCGCTGCCACCCCCGCGGCGAGAAGGGGCCTGCTGTCCTCATGTGCCCCCGCCACTCCGCCTGCAGTCTTCGTGCTCGAGTACTATCTGGACACGCTGTGGAAGGGGACGCTGCTCTTCGTCATCTGTCTCTTCCTCGTCAGCTTCGACCTCATGCGCCAGGTCTGAGGTCCTAGCCCCCCGCCAATCCACCTCCCTCCGGGCCGCCACTCGGCACCCCGCCCCGGCCTTCTCAGAAGGTCCCCATGGCGCCCACAGGTGCGACAGCAGGAGACCTGGGGCTTCGCTGCGTATGGCGCGGGCGTGGGCCTGTGGATCATGATCTCGTCGCTGCCACGGCGCCGCCTGGTGCTGAACCACACGCTCGGCATGTACCACTTCTCCATCCAGGGCCGCACAGTGTGTCAGGGCCCCGTGCACTTGGTCTACGTGCGCCTGGCGCTCAGCTCTGACGGTGACGGACGGG